AGGACAGTGTTTGCTTGGAAAATCGTCGACTGTTTACCCTCTTGGGTTTTGACCTTGGGCTTTTGCATAGCAAGCTTCCACCACTTTTTCGACCTGCCGAGCTTGGTTTAAGGTTGCATTCCTTCAAAGAATCCAATCTTGTTCGACCCTTTCCCACAAGCAAACAGGGCTGCGGCACTGGACGCCAAGCAACATCGGCGTTTCAATAGTCCTTGAACTCTGTTTGGAGGGGCTGATATCTTGACTGCTATTGGGTTAGATCTTTAGACTTTAACTTTTTGGGAACTCATGGTGTTATCCACTACACCTCCAAAAAGTTAAACTTTTGGCAGAGGGGTCAACAGTAACCAAGATATGGGCTTGTGTTTTTAAGGACCAGGAGATGTTGCATATCCCTTTTAGTTGGGTAAGTGGCACGCGTCAAAGCACAGAAGTACTGCCCTCCGAATGGTCCCTTTAAGAGGAGCAAGATCTTGAACCCGCAGGCTCCATGTTCCAGCAGTAGCTTCCCCCAACTTGTCTCGCTGGCGGTTTGTTCCGCGGAACATAGAGAGGGCAGGCCCTCGACCAAGGACCGATCCGAAAAGGGTTGTCAGTTGCATTCTTAGTGTGTGGTTTTGCAAGAATCCTTTTTTTGTTCATTGTTTTGGGCAAATATTTGAGTATGATTCTAAATAGTTCGATCTCGGTCTATCGAATTATTTCTATATATATATATGGTACTGTGCTCCGGATTCCTAGTCTCCTCCCTCCCCGACCCCCCCGCCCCAACCCCCGATTCCGCTTCCACCCCCCAACCCCCCCCCCATCTAGAACCCGACTTGCAGGACCCTAAATCTATATTTCGGTATACGTTGTGTTTATATTTATCTTAAATTAACTCGAAACACTTAGTTTTATATTTGGTACATTTTGAATATCTTGAGTTAAACCGAATTAATTTAATGAATTCTAAATTATTTATAAATTAATTCTGGATTAAATTAACCGGTAAATATATGTTCTAGATTAATAGATGATACTCTGAATTAGTCCGAAATTTAATTTAATATATACTGATGATAAAAACAATACACATATATTTTTAATACTGAATGTATTTTAAATTAATTATATATTGATTTTAAATTAATTTAAAATATACGGGGGGAAATCGATTTTAAATTAATCATAAATTATTCCTAAACCATATTTTATCCAGACTATAGGGAAAGGGGGGTTGGGAATTGTGGAGAAGGAGGGGATAGGATTTGCGAATCTTTAATTATATATATATTGTATATTATTGGTTATGGTTTAATTTTAAAAATGTTATTTGATTGATATATTCGAATATAAATCTAAAAACAAAAAATAATTATATATTTTTACTCTATAAAACGAAACCGTGAAACTTGCTCGTCGCACTTGCGCGCGTTTTCCCGGACCGCTTTTCCGAAAAATCCCGGATATTTCGGAAAATTGGTTCGGGCTGCCCAAATCTGTCCGGGCTACCCCGGCCAGAATCCGGAAGATGCAGTGGCTTCATTTTTTGTAGGGACCAATTTCCCGAAATATTCCAGATATTTCGGGAAAATCGCAGCCACCCACCATTTTCTCGAAATATTCCGAATATTTCGGGAACCGTTTTCCCGAAATATTCCAAATATTTCGGGAAATGCTGTCGTCGAAATATCCGGAATCTTTCGGAAAAATGGTCTGGAGTGCAACTATCGAAATATCCGGGATATTTCGGAAAATGGTCCGGGCTTTGAACGAAGCCGTTGTGTCTTCCAGATAAATTGCCGGTTCTCGTATTGGGCGCATCTTATTGGAATCGGTCCCCTATGGTCTGTTTCCTTGTGGTTTCCTCATGACCATTTTAACGGTAAATAAGAAGTTTGTTTTTTTGGCCAATCCACTCGATCATCTTCACACACCAGTTGGATTGACTTTTGGACTTCCCCTACAGTATGATTGGTTTCCCTATTTCCCTTTGATCGCCCGTCAGGCTCGCCATCGGAAGCTTTTCGACTAGGTCCCCCAGTAGTGCCCTTTCTCCCCCTTTTTGGGGGGAGGGTTCCCCTACTAAAATAGACTACAGAAAAAAGTTGGTACCCTAACCTCTAACCTCTCAAGTCTGGAGGACCTAGCCACAATGAAAATTGACTCTCTGAAAGTGATCACTGGAAACACAGAGAGGGGGGCCTCCAACAAATTTGGCGCCGGATTCGCTTTCCGGGCATATATCTACCTGTCCGTAGCAATTTTCCAAGAGTTTGGCGATGCGAGAAGCTGTGAGCCGCGGCCGATTGTTGCGACCAGTGGTGTCTTCCCAATGCTTTGGGCGAAATCAGTTCAGGATGTTTTCTGGTCGATCGCGTTTTCGCTTGCGCTTGCAACAACTGCGTGTGTGGATGGATCTTTTGAGGCCAACAGCCAGCGGATCCGTTCTCACCTTGCTCAGGCGACCGCCTTTCACTGACTCTTTGGTGCTTTGGGCGAAATCAGTTCGGCTTTGCTTGCACCCAGGATGTTTTCTGGTCGATCGCGTTTTCGCTTGGGCTTGCAACAACTGCGTGTGTGGATGGATCTTTTGAGGCCAACAGCCCGCGGATCCGTTCTCACCTTGCTCAGGCGACCACCTTTCACTGACTCTTTGGCGTGACCGTATCGCGACCAGCCCGGCCCTCAGCGCGTCTCGCGACCTGTGTTTGGAGAACGGCAGCATGCTTTTCGCATGCGACGAGTATACATTTGTTGGCACATATGAGATGATAAAATATGTTGGTGCCTGAGTTGCAAAAAATCTCTTTTTGTCTCTGTCTCTCTGTCGGTGTTTGTCTCTGTCTCTCTTTGTCTGTTGGTCTCTCTGTCTCTGGTATCTGTTTCTTTGTCTGTCTGTCTGTCTGTCTGTCTGTCTGTCTGTCTGTGTCTGTCTGTCTGTGTCTGTCTGTGTCTGTCTGTGTCTGTCTGTGTCTGTCTGTGTCTGTCTGTGTCTGTCTGTGTCTGTCTGTGTCTGTCTGTGTCTGTCTGTGTCTGTCTCTGTCTGTGTCTGTCTGTCTGTGTCTGTGTCTGTGTGTCTGTGTGTCTGTGTCTGTCTGTGTCTGTGTCTGTGTCTGTGTCTGTCTGTTTGTGTCTGTCTGTTTGTGTCTGTCTGTTTGTGTCTGTTTGTGTGTGTCTGCGTGTCTGTGTCTGTGTGTCTGTGTCTGTGTGTTTGTGTTTGTGTGTCTGTGTCTGTGTGTTTGTGTGTTTGTGTCTGTGTGTCTGTGTTTGGTTTTGTTTGTAGTTTTGTCTTTTGTTGTTGTTTTTGTCTTTGTCTTTGTTTTTGTTTATGTTTTATTTTTATTTTTGTCTTTGTTGTTTTGTTTATTTTCTTGTTTTGTTTATTTGTTTGTTTGTTTGTAGTTGATATAGTGTAGGTTAATCTTTATGAGTTTAGGAAATTTAATTGATATTGTGTAGGTTAATTGTTATGAAAATATTGCGTTTTGGGCCTATTTTTGAAAGAATTAGGATATGTTTGATAGAAATTCTGATATCCTAATAATATATAATATATTAAATAATTTATTTAAATATAATATATTTTTAAATAAAATATTCAGCTTTGAACATTTTTTGATTGTTGTTTTGGTTTGGCTCTTATATATATTGTATGGGTTTGTTTTGGTAGAAAGATTTATGGAGGAATAAAACATTGTATCCCCTAAAAAATATCTTTTATATATATATTCGTTTTATAATAATATATACTAATTCGGTTTCGATCGAGGTAAGGAATTATATACTCGAATTCCCTAAGCTAACCTAAATCTTATTATTAACATATCTTTTTATAACACCCTTTTTAAAAGCTAAATACAAAATAAATTAATAAACAAAATAATTCTAATTTAAAACAAATCATTCTGTCCCTTTAAAAAAAAATATTTTTTTAGATATTCTATTATTATTTTGGCTGAATCATTGATAGAATTTGATGATATAAGAATCGATTATTATGATTAATGATATTCGTTTTAATGGTGTTTCCGAGTATATTGTAATATTTATTTATGGGAATATATTTTTTGAAATCGGATTCATTTTTTTCGCGATCATTTTTCATTATTTACATGATTAGTTTTTATTGATTATATATTTATACACTAGTATTGGGCATTTGAGATATATTGTTACTTTCAATTTTGTGTATCGTAATGCTTTAGGAAATATATTAAAGTGCTGAGAAATTCCATCTACAATTCGTCTTTAGATATTTGGGTCTTTAATTCAATGTAATGCATAGTGAAGTGTTTTGCCTGGGTAGGGTCCAAGGCAAAGGCTTAAAATCGTATTTTCTCGAAATATTCTGAAATTGTCTTTCGTTAAGCATTTGCTCGGTCTGCCAATTTTTGTTTCTGTGAATATAACCATATATATCTATTTATAATTATTAAATTAGAATGTTTTTTAGTTTTATGCTATAATTCTGTTATTCTCCTGCCATGGATTTTATCTCGCACGCTGCTTGGAAGTAACGGACCTCCATAAATATATATTATAATTAAAAAATTATTATAAATATAATAATTATATTTAATATAAAATATTTACTATTTAAAATATTATATATATATATATTAAATATTATTATGAATTTATTAATATATATTTGAAAACAAATTAATATTAATATAATATATATAAAATATATTATATTTTAATAAATAACTAATATTTAAAAATAAATAAAAATAATTAGAATATTATAATGAAGATTATTCATTCTCTAAATAAACCGGTATGGCCTCGAGGTCGCATTTCCTGTGCCCCGGGGAGCCGCTGCAATGGTACTCCGGCCAAATCGTTGTGTTTGCGGCGAGTGGCTATGCCCGTCCCGGTCCTTTCTCCGCGGTGCAAGTTCCGGCCCGGAAGTCCCCGAAATTTTGCCAAAATTTGAAGGGATTCTGTGGATCTTCGCTCAGAGTTCTCGTGGCATAACCCGGCCAAATTTTCCCGAATTTTGGGTTACTTCCGGCGACGCGGCTCTCAGATCTCCGGACGTAACCCCCGCAAATTTCTTCACAATTTGGCGGCTTTCCGAAAAAAATCAACGAGCCAAATATTCGGGAAAATTGGGGACTTGTCCGAGGCGAATTTTCCGGAAAATTTCCCGCCGGGCGCTCCTTCCTTTGGCACGAGAAGAATACGGCAAATTGGTGGGCGCCGTTCTTCAAAAAAACCAAGCTGATGCTTGGGATCATCTTCCTCTTGCGGAGGGCGGACGGGGGGCGCCCGACACTGAGGCTATGCAAGCCGCGAGGCGAGCTTGGATCGAATTCTTTCTTTTTCCTAAGCCCACTTGTGTTCTTCTGCAGGCCGACATTCGCAATGTTTTTAATGAAATGTTACCTATTCAATTCTTGAAGGATAACCACGAGCACACTCCTTCCTCGGCTCGATTTGTTTCTTAGTGTTATGGAAATCCGTCTTATTTGGTTTACCAAGGACAATTGTTCGCGAGAATAATAAGGTTGCCCCATCATGAGTCCTTTATTTTGTCTTATTCGTCATCGAATGCAAATCGCCGTGTTCGCCGCTAGCGATAGGCCCCCACCGGAATTTACGCCGGCTTTTGCGGACGATGGGTTCATGGGGGGGGAGGTTAAAGATGTTTGGACAGCATTTCAATAACAGATACATTTGGCTCAGGAATACGGTCTTTACATCCAACCACACAAATGCACCTTATACCTTCTTGCGGGAGAACAATTCCGCGGAGATGTTTCGTGTTTCCAGACGTTGGGAGTTACTGTGATTTCTGGTCATGATATGCTTATGCTTAAAGTGCCTGTTGCGGGGTCGGCGGATTTTTTTCATAATTTCTATGAACAGAAGAATCAGGAAATTGAGAAGCTCTTCTCTGCGATAGAAAGCTTGCCGCACAAGCATGTAGCTTTCCATCTTATGCAAAGCAGTGCTACTTTTAACAAGATGTAATATTTGTGCCGCACTACTCCTCGACCGTTGATTAGACCATGTTTGGATTTTTTCCCATAATCGAATGAAGAGATATTTGGAATTATGTTTTGACACTGTTTTGACTCGAACCTAATGATCGCAAGCCAAATTGCTTATTAAGTAAGGGGGACTTGGATTTCTTAGTCCGCGAGCCGAAATCGGCTTGGAGAACGTTTACTTAGTGGATCTTGCTTACGTGGCGTCAAAACGTAAGCCCTTACAAATCATTTTGGATTTTTATCCCGTTTTTCCCGTCTAAATTGATGCTTATGAAGCTCAGGCCCTGCAGCATGTTATGCATTTCTTGCCTCGTGATACCCCTAGTCTGCAGGATCCGAGAATAAAGATATAACAAACTACCTTGTTGGGAACTATTCACTCTAAGGTGATTCGTTTCTTGATGGAGCAAGCGGATGTAGTGGGATAAGCGCGGTTACGCACTTTTGCTGTTTTAGGAGCAGCTGGTTGGCTTCGGGCACGCCCCGCTTTGGCTCAGGATTTGTTGCTCACCAACGCTGTATTTCGAGATATTGTTTCTATGCGGCTTGGAGTTCTATATTTTGAACCGGGTGAGGTATGTTCTTTTTGCCACCAACATTTGGATGCTTTCGGACACTATGTTTTCCAGATTGTATGGGACATGAACACAAACAGGTCACGCACACCATTTTGAAGAACGCTGTGTTTGCTTTAGCCTTGTAGGCTGGCGCGCGACCCTTGTTGGAGCCTATGAACCTGTTACCCACTAATCCCCGGATAAGACCTGTGGATGTTCTGGTGATAGGAGCCCCACAAATCCTTTAATCTTTTTAGTATCCTTTGCCGCGGTTAATCTTGGATATAGCGGTTATATCTCTTTTCCAATCTCGTATTTTGGGAATAGCGATATAGGAATTATTGGCAGCAGCACGGCAATATGCCGAACATAAATGTACTTATGATAATTTGCGGAGTCGATGTGTGGCCTAAAATATTAGTTACGAGCTTTTGGTTTGGGAAAGTATGGGTGGATTGGATGCCAAGGGAAAACGATTCCTTCGATTCGATTCTTTGTTCGTATGATGAAAAATGTGTTCTGTATTTTGGGACTAAATAGACCCAATTTAAAATCCGAATTTTATTTTAATTACAGAAAAAATATTTTTTGGTATGTGAAAGGTATTGAGAGGCGGCGTTTGGCCGTACAAATAGGTTAAGGATAATAAACTAGTTTTCCTTGGTTTTACTTACTATTTTCGATGAGTATTTCGATTACTTCTGGTGTATGGCGGTGTCCTTTACGATTGTTGCCGTTAATTTGTGTTTAGTGGTATTATCATTCCTTGAGTATTGAAGGATTTGTATTTTTTGAATCGAAATTCTCGACTTTGTGTGTATGTTTAGTTTGGATTTTTTTTTCGGAATAGAATAATATAATCGCCATGCCTAAAATAACGTAGGGCTATAGATGGGCGAGATTTTAATTCCCAATTCTGTTTTATTATTAAGATTTTATTTAAGATTTAGATTAAATTGTTTATTGTGTTATAGATTATTAATTCCAATATAGATTATAAAATTCATATTTCCAAAAAAAAATATTTAATATAATAAAAACTAAATAAAAAATATATAATAAATAAATAATAAATAAATAATAAATAATAAATAACAAATAATTAAAAAATATAAAACCATTAAATAAAAAATAACAATATATATAAAAACAATAATAATAACAAATATATAAATAATATTTGTTATAATTATAAAATCATTAAAATACCAATATTAATTATAATATATATTCTTAAAACCACTCATTTATTTTTAGTATTATTATTATTTAGATTTACATCTTATAATCTATACATAATTCCTTAATTTTAAACCAACCCTAAAATTTTAAATTATTTTTTAATAACTAACCAATTCTTAAATATCTACAATATATCTCCATATAAATTTTTATTAATTATTATTTTTACCAAATAAACAAATAATAACAAAAAATCAATTTAAACATTCTAAATTATAAAAACACATAAAATCAAAAACATATAATTAAAAAATAATATATTCTTCATATATTTTTTAAATATTTTATATTAATTCTATTTTTTTCATTAAATCAAAAAACAATATAATAAATAATTCCATATTCAATTAAATTTATCAATATATCATTCTTTAATTTTCAAATTTAATATTAATTTTTGAAATATATAGATTATGAAATTAAAAATAATAATATATTTGAATTTGTAAATAATAATAATAAATTAACATTAATAAATCTAATATAATTTAATTAATAATGTTAAATATAATATTTAATTGTATATAATTTATATAATTATATATTATATATATATATGTTGATTTATAATTAACATTATTTTAATACATATATATTGTATTCTTTTAATCCTTCTATTCAGCGGTTTGTCAGACTTTTCAGTCTGGGGTCACTGACGCATACTTCAATGCCACGTAGCTCCCGCAGCAGCCAACTACATCCACCACACCACTCTGCAACTCATCGTGCGGCGCATATTCTGTGAGACTGTCATCAAATCCGCCCCAAACGACCAGCGAGCCCTCCTCTTTCACGGCTGCAAAGGTGATGATGGGCAGCGAGAAGAAAGGTATCTTAACAACGCCGCTCTGAAGCTGCTCTGCCACGCTGCTGGAGTCCCCTCCATACACACCCACACCCCAAGTGACAACGCGGCCACCGGGCTTCAGCGCTGCAAAGGCCGCCTTGTTGGGTGAGACCGACACCACATCGCTCTCCAGCTCTTTGGCAACTTCTTCCTTGAGGTGAGCACCGTCTGCTCCCATCCCCCAGGCTACAACCTTGCCTCCTTCCTTGAGGGCCACGAAAACATCGTCGGAAGCAACGATCGAAACTACCCCGGCAGCGAGCTCTCCCTGAACGGAGTACGTGCTCCCTTCATCCTTTTCGGAAAAAAACACGACCGGCTCCCCACCCCGCTCTGGATCTCCCCAGCAAACCACTTCACCCGTCTCTTTCAAGGCAGCAAAGGAGCAGCCGCTGGCACAAATGCTCTTGACACCGCTGTGCAGCTTCTCTGCACTTGAGCCCATGTCACCGGTGTCTGCATGGCCCCAGGTCACAACTCCACCACTTGCAGTCAAGGCTGCAAATGCCGCATCACGCTCGCCCCAAGTACCAACTACGGAAACTATGTTTTCGAGGCTTCCGGCTGCAGAGCTGCTGTCCCCACCGTACGCTGGGTTTCCCCAAGTGACCACCTCGCCATTCTCCTTCAACGCGGCGAAGGCCTCTTGCGTGCGTGCAACCGACACAACTCCACTGCGCAGCTGGTCGCAGACCTCTGGCGGAGGCTTGCCACCGGCCTCGGCATTGCCCCAAACCACGAGCTTTCCGCCCGTCTTCAGGGCGACAAAGGCCCTGCCGTTGCCAACCACCTGCAAAACGCCCTCGTCGAGGCCCGCAACACCTTCGGAGTTGCCTCCATCGTCACTTGAGCCCCAGGTGATCACAGAACCAGAGGTCGTCAGGGCGGCAAAGGCCAACTTTGTGGAAGCGACCTCTTGGATGCCTTGGCCCAGCTGGTTCGAAACTTCTTTCCCCAATGGTGCGGCACCCCAAAAAACTGCTTGGAAGGTCTTTGGCGTCATCACCATGGAGAGGACCAGGGGATTCTCAGCCGTTCCGCCCTCCAACTTCTTGCTGTCAGAGAGAATGGTGCCGTCTCGGTGCAGAACGATCTCCTGACTGGGCCCCGGTTGGAGTGACACTTGCAGCTGATGCCTCAGTTCGGACGTGCGTGGCGGCGCCTCGAAGTACGTGGGCCCTAACAGCTCATCGCCGCTGACAGAGAGCACCAAAACAGTTGCCATGGGTGAAACGAAGGCACTGGGGTCGAGGAGTTCGGGCGCCCTTTCATACTTTCGGGGCGCCGGCGAATCAGGCGCTAATATGACACTAAGAAAAAAGACATCTCAAGCAAACCCAGTTACTTCGCAACTGCTTCATGAAACACCA